CACAGCTCTTCATCCAGTGCACTTCCTGCCACACTATACCACCTTTTCTAAACCCAGTAAGAGTAGGGGATTCTTCCTGCGCACCAGGGAATTCTCAAGATTAATCACTAAAATCCTCATCAACATTTCCCAGTGAGAAAATGACACCCCCTGGCCAAGTCTGACAAAGAACCTAGAACCTGTTAAGGGTCTCTGCTCCAGATGAACTCATCCTGCTCCTCTGCGACGTGCCTGCTGCTGGTGTGAAACAGTTTCCCATCTGTGACCCTGAATCACTCCGGAACCCAGCAGGGCCAGGGATGGATTGTTCATCCCTCTTTATAGATGAAGAACCCGCGATCAGAGAGGCTGGGTCTAGACACCAGCTCTGAATCCCAGCACACCTTCCCAGACAGCCTTAACCTGCTCAAGCTCCAGTTTGAAGCCTCCTGACCTAAGAAGCCCTATTTGCATACAACCTTTTTTCCACGTCTCTTCATTCCCAGGACCCAACCAACCCTCTTATTTGGAAGCAACTCAAAAAGCTCCTCCTGCAGCAGCCAGAAGAGGCCCTTTCAGAGTATAAATAGAATCGAGGGCTTTGTTGGTAGAAGAACTATTCCAGTCAAGCGGCTCCTTCGCATTTGTTATTAATTGTGGTCTGGGACGAACGCTTCAGAGGGAAATTCTGGTTGTGGATGTTTATTTGCAAGCAGTGGGTTCCTGTGAATAGACAGCCCTGGGAGCCAGCACAGCCTTGGGATAGAACCCTGGAGCTGGGCTAGTTGATCAAACCAGACTTGATCCTGACCTTTGCGGGTGAACAGCTAAATAGAAATTACAACACTAATGCTAATGCTGCTGCTGCTGCTGCTGATATGTATAGTTTATCAAGCATATACTATATGCCAGGCACTGTGTTGAGTATTAGACATGAACATCCACGTGAGGCAGATTCTGTCATTATGCATACCCATTTTACAGGTGAGGTGAGAAAACTAAGTCTTGAAGAGGTTGCATAACTGGTTTAAGGTCCCAAAGATCTGCCTGACCAGAGGCCACTCTCTTAAACCCCTGCACCTTGCATTCTCCTCCTGGATTGTATTCCTACAAGGCACCACAACCATGATCGTCACCCACGTCACGTTTGTACAGCACACTGACCCTTGCAAAACACCTTCATCTTCACCATCTGTTTGGAGCCCAAGGATTACATGGTACTTATCTGATCCGCCGCGATGCTGAGACGTACTGATTTTGAGTAACCAGAGGTCTGTTCTTTGACTCTCTGTCCTCAGCCTTCACACCTGCACTGCAAAAATATACTTGATATTCTCCCCCTATAACCTGGCTTTTTAACATTCGTCTGAAGTCAGCTCTCCCTCTGCCTCTAATCACTCTGATTTTTCCACTTATTTTCTGTTTTGTGTTATGGGAATCTGATTACATTGTTAGATTCATAGGTCTTTTTTTAGGAGCTGGGCAGTAATTGGGTTTCAGTCTTTCAAAGTGTCTCGTGCTGTACAGTCCCACATAGCTCTGACCACATGTCACAGTTGTCTGTCCTGCAGCTGAAAGTCAACGGACCACACTTCTCCTAGGAACAGATTTCCCTCTTTATGAAATGGAGACAGTTTGATCGAGCATAGTGACAGTGACAGGACTCTGGGGTCACAGACTCACTCCACTCTGAGCTCAGCTATTTCCTAATGGGGACCTCCCTGAGCCTCAGCTTTCCCATCTGTGCAATAGGAAGAGGAGAGCTCCCTTCTCATAGAGGTTTGGACACAAGTAAATAAAATCATGCACAGAAATTGCTTCACACATAGCAGGCGCTCAATGAAAGTCAGCCTCTCTCCCTCTCTGCCTCTCTTCTCTACTTCCCTCTCTCCCTCTGTCTGTGTCTCCTTTCTTTAGATATTTTTATTCCTTCCCACCCATCCCATCCCCAAAATAGCTGTACTCCAGAAGAACTCTGGGATTTTTGTTTCCTTTTTCTTTGCAGCTCCCCAGACCAAACATCTGACCCAAGAATGGATGACTTTATATTTAAGCCAAGGAAGCTGTTTTGCTGGAGTGATTGTCTTTGACTTCCCTGGGCTCCCTTCCCTCCTCCAGAAGAAAAGCATCCATGTGTCTGTCTCTCTGTGACTCTGCTCTGCTTTCTGAAACCCTAAGGAGAAGTTACAAGGCTTTTCTGAACATCAACATCCGAGTCCCTTTAAAGACAAGAGTAGGGTCCTCATGACAACCCTTGACTCTGCTTTGGCACAGGGCAGGTGGAAACAGCCAGGCTGGCTTTGGACTTGGCAATGCTTAGCTTCAACTGCCACCTCTGTCCTCACTAGTTGTGTGATGTGGGGAACGTGCTGACCTCTCTGAGCCTCAGAGGATGATAATGCATTCTTCCCAGGACCAAATGATGATGGATGCAGAGTACCAATCACAGGACTGATGCATAGTAGGCTCAAAACATCAACTCCTCTGGACAAGAGCAGCAACTCTTCTTCAGAATGTGCTCATTCACTCATTCACTCATTCATTCACCCATGCAGCAACCATGGCAAGAGACATCCATGGCTGGAGAGCAAAGCAGGGGTTGATCCCAGTGTCCCCATGAGGCTTGAACAGATGGTTGGTGTTTGGAATGATAGGCTATTGGATGGTTTGCTGGATGGGTGAGTGGATAATTTGCTGTGGGTTTGGGTGGCTGGGTGATTGGATTTGGATGGATAGATGGGCAGATGGATAGATGGATGGATGGATGAAAAGATCTAGCTATATTGATCACCAAGAGTCAGCTTCCCATTTAATACAGGAATCGCCCCTGAAATACCTGTGACAGTCCTAAAATGCATGCCTACTGACCTGTAGTAACTAACTTACAGGCTATTTCATTAACAAGTTTAGTTGCTATGAACTTTTCCTTCCAAACTCTAGGTACAATAATGAATATAAATTAGTGGTTAGGGTGTGGTCTTTGGAATCATACCTGGGTTTGAATCTCAGCTTAACTAATTAAAACGGTGTGACCTTGAACAAAGCCCTTCATCTCTCAAAGCTGTGGTTTCCTCATTGGAATATGGAGATAATAGCACTACTTGCAGGATCTGTATGAGGATTAAATGAGATAATGAATGTCAAGGGCTGGTCAACGCTCAATAACTGGCATTATTATTGTACCAAGCCAATATGTATGCTTCTGTAACTTTTTTCACCAAGAGCCACATGTGTGCCAGACATTATTATAGTGATGTGTGCACAATGGCAAACAAGACTGAGAGTCCTTATCATTTGGAGCTTATGCTATTGTGGAGTGTTCAGACAATAAAAAAGTAAAGAGATAACATGGTGTTAAATGCTGTGCAGAAAATTGAAATAGCATGAGGTGAGAGAGAGTGAGAGATGTGGTGGGTGAGGGACAGGAGTCCTTTCTTGGGCTGTGAATCTGGGGAGAGGGTGTTCCAGGTAGCAGGAATGGCTGGCGAAAAGGTCCTGAGGCAGAAATGAGCTTGTTCAAGGAAAAGAAAGGCCAGGTGGCCAGATGGAAAGTGGGACCAGTTAGGGCAGGGAGGGCTCAGGAGGCAGATCTCAGGCCGTGGAGTCTGTGCATTGGATATCATCCACATTAATCTCATCCTGTTTTCTGGAACAATGTAGAAGGAGCCTTGTTTATTTGGCGGCCATTCAGCTTTCTGATGACAGCTGATGGCTTCCAATCTCCCGACCTCCAGGCTTCACAGTCTCAATTCTCAGTGTTCCTAGTTGATACTCTGGGACACCTGCAACTTCTACTCTGACAATGTGCTGGGTCCCATAAACCTAGAACCCGGAGGAAATCAGGTGGAGGAAAGCCAGGAAATGTCTAATTGAAACTGTAATGAACTACACCAGGAAGCTGTGTCTCTCCCTGAAGCCTTGGCCCTGGAGTATTTGCAGGGGAAAAGAGGAGAGTAGTCTTTGAGGCTGATGTCAGGATGAAAGACATCTGGAACCATGTATGCAGGTGGATCTGGTGTGGGATCTGGCTTTAAAAGAAAAATAATCTATGATGGTGGCTGATCTCTAGCCGGGCTGATCCCGGAGCTCAAGCCAGGTCGTGGGACTAGGACCCTTGTCACAGCTCAGCAGTGCCTCCCTTGGTGTTGGTTTTCTTCTTGGCAACCTCTCTCCATGTGGAAATAAAAAGGCTCTTGGAATCTTCTAGTTTCATGTCCATCAGAAGCAGACCCTCTCTTTTCTAGTGTGCAGCAGGAGTCTGGAATTCTGTCTTACTTGGTAATTAGCTCGGTTGGGTCACATGTTCATCTCTGAACAATACTGTGACCAGGGAGATGCAGCGTTCTGATTGGCCAGGCCTGAGCAGCAGGACCACCCCTGGAACTGACAGCAGGGTTAGATCCTCCTCGTCCATATGGAAATGGAGGAGGGGGGTGATGCTGCAAAAAAGTATTGGATGATAAAGTTTCAATTATGCAAGATGAATAAGTTCTAGAGATCTGCAGTACAACTTGTGCTTATAGTTAACAATACTGTACTGGACGCTTAAACATTTGTTCAGAGGGTGGATCTCACATTATCTGTTCTCACTACAATTTAACACAAACAAAAAAATATATTGGATGCTGTTAGGAGAAGAATGGAGAGTAGATTCTGGACAGGCACGAACAGCAGGTGTATCTCACATTTCCTAACTCAGAACTGTTTCTTCCTCTGTGGCTCAGAGATACATCTCTTACAGCTCTCATCACCTCCTGCCTTGTTCAATAGTTTAATATATGTCCAGCCTTTTTAAGCTCCTTGGGGATGGAAACTATGTCATAAGCACCCCAGGGTCCCCTACCCCTTTTGTGCCTGGACAATGTGTAGGACATGCTTGGTTATGTTGAGTCAAGTTTCAGGGCCCCGTAGGACTGCTGTGCCCACCAAATAGTCCCCAGATGAAGCATCAGAGAAACTCCCATGCCCCAAAGGACAGCCGAGCCTCACCCTCACCTCTCTGTTCTTTTGGGTTTTCCCAGGCAAAGCCAACAAAAACGTTCAGTGGGACGAGGACTCGGTGGAGTACATGCCAGCCAACCCGGTCAGGATCGCTTTCGTCCTGGTGGTCCACGGCCGTGCCTCTCGCCAGCTGCAGCGCATGTTCAAGGCCATCTACCACAAAGACCACTTCTACTACATCCACGTGGACAAGGTGAGGAGCCTCCACAGAGGGCCTCATGCCGGGCTGCCTCCATAGTCTCTCTGTCTCTCTGATACCCCCCACCCCCATGGCAAGTCCAGGCTGCTCCCTTTCAGAGAGGGCTCAGAGGCTGAGCAACTGCCTGTGCTTGGAGCTCTTGAAGTGCTGTGTGTGTGTGTATGTACGTATGTGGGTCCGTTTCAAAGTTTCCAGCTGTGATGTTTGACTTTCTCCATAAACATTATTTTTCTTATGTCTTTTCCTCACTGCCAGTGCCCCTCTCTGCCATTCACAGACTTTCTGGGAAAAGCTATCCCAGGAGTGGGCACACTTCTTCTATAAGGGGCCAGATAGTAAATATTTTAAGCTCTGTGGGCCATATGCTCTCTGGAGGCTACTCAGCACTGCCCTCGTACTGCAAAAGCAGCCCCAGAGACTGTCAACAAATGGGCATGGCTGTGTGCCAATAAAACTTTATTAACAAAAACCCTGCAGCAGACTTGCTGACCCCTGAGCTACCTCATCCCAGAGGTTTCTGTCGGTTGGCTGACATAACATGATTATGTCTTCACTCAAGAAGACAAAGGGGATATTTGATCCAAAAGGTCTGCTTCTAACAAGCCTGAGGGTGGACAGAAAACAGAAACTCCTCTGCCAGATTTCCATCAAGTTTAGATAGAACAAAACTTCTTAGGTTGTTATCCTCAGACCACATACACCAGTCATAAAAAAATATGCAGAGTCCCAGGCATTTTTAAAATGCAGAGTCCCATCAACCCAAGCCTAGTGAACGATTAACTCAGAGGTGGGGCCAGGGAATCTGCATTTCAAACATCAAATGCAAATTTTTTTTAAAGATAAAAGTTTGAATAGCAATGCAGAAAGCCTCCCCAGGCTGGAATTAGTTTCTTGGTCAAGTCACTATGTTCAGAAGCCCCGTCAACTAGAAGGGAAGGGACAGAGAGGGGACAAGAGATGAGGGGCATGACTGAGTGGTTTCTAGGATGTCAATGTCACCTTTTCTCTCCTGGGCAAAGCGCTCTAATTACTTGCATCGGCAAGTGCTCCAGTTCGCCAGGCAGTACGATAACGTCCGCATCACCCCCTGGAGGATGGCCACCATCTGGGGAGGAGCCAGCCTCCTGTCCACCTACCTCCAGAGCATGCGGGACCTCCTGGAGATGACAGACTGGCCCTGGGACTTCTTCATCAACCTCAGCGCAGCAGACTACCCCATCAGGTAAGGCACCTGGTGGCCCCAAGCCTGTCTGGTCTGAGGTCTGCTCCCCCTCACTGTCTCTCATCATAGCTGGGACACCAGAAAGCAGAGGCAGAGGGCTTCCTGTCCAGAGAAGTGTTTCCATCTCCCTGAACTGCTGCATAGAACTCATGCACTGTCTCCGTAAGATCTCTCCGCATGGGATTCAGATTGGACCCGAGAAGCACTTATGCATTCATTCATTCACTCATTCAACAGATATTTATTAAGCTGATGGTTTTCCCAGCTCTGTTCAATGATGTACCAGTTTACTAAAGGGACCAAAACCTGTACCCACATGGAGATTCCATTCAAGTAGGGAGACAAACCACAAACAAAATCAGGAAAATGGTATGTCAGAAAACTAAAGCAGAGGGCAGAAGTAGGGGGAGAGTTATATTTTAACAAGGGTGGCCAACAAGGAAAGTGGTCCAGGCACAAAGAGCAGCGAGTGCTGAGCCCTAAGGTGGGAACGTGCCTGGTGTGTGTGTGCAAGGAACAGCAGGGCTCAGTGTGGCTGGAACAGAATGAGTGAGGGGTAGAGTAACAAAAGACATAAGGTCAGGGAGGAAATAGGGGCTAGGTTATGGAGAGTCTAGAGTTTGGCTGTCACTTTAAGCAAGATGGAAGCCACCAGCATGTTTTGAACAGAGGAAGGACAAGGACTGACTTAGATGTTAAACTGAAAGGGAGCAGGATGGAAGAAGGGAGGTTGGTTCTAGCAGCCCCGGCACGATTGCAAGCGGGAGTCTTCAGGCTGCTTGAAGCCCATGGGTGTGTTTGTTTGGCTCCTATCAAATTTTAACAAATGAATTGATTGCCTACCTTTCAAAATTGGGAGACGTCACGTGAAGCCACAGATTTCCAGCTTCCTTTGAAGATCTGCCCACTCCGGGCTTGCAGCCTGCCTGGTCACAACTGTCTGGAGCTGGCGGTGCAGCCAGCAGCCCCCAGGTGCTGGGAAACACATGCAGCAGCAACGCTGAGAAGCCAAGTCTGTGCCTTTGCAAGGAGGTTGGTTTTCAGCCATTTAAAATAGACCATAAGCAAAGAAAGCCCCTCTAGAGATCCTATAGGAAAAAAGAAAATGAACCACATTTCCTATTAAGAAGGCAGCTCTCTGCTTGTGTCTTCCATCCTGATTTGTTGATGGGGTGAAAAGGAAAGTAGATTGGGGGTGAAGGGGGTGTCTCCCTCCTACCAAAGGTGCCAGAGCTCTGGGCACAGCATTCCCAGCAGTGTTAGATGAAGGTGTCTTAGAAAAAAATTAACTTATATTAGGGACATTTTTAAACATACATAAGAGTACCAAGAAGGGCATAATGAACCCCCCACATATACATCACTGGTTTCAATAATCGATTCATGGCCAGTCTTGTTGCTTCTGGGTTTTCACCCTCTACCCCTAACCCTGGATTATTTTGAAGCAAATCCAAGACATCGTGCAGTTGTATCTGTAAATATTTCAGTATACATCCCTAAAAGATAAAGCCTGTCTTTCAGCAGAACATCAATATGGTTATCGCACCTAAAATATTAACAGGCATTCTTAATGTCATCACAAATCCAGGTCACATATTCCCAAGAGTTTCGGTTTTAAATCAGGATCCAAATAAAGTGCAGGCATGGAAGGAAGGCTTCTCTTTAAAGCTAGAAATGGCTTCTTTGTCCTTTACAACATGGTCCTCGGTGCCCTTCTTTAGTCCTGGGCTTGGTGGCATCTGTCATCTGCTGGGAGATCCTGGACCCTGCTGGGGGGTGGGAGGCATAATCTCTGGTCAGTTTGGACAAGATACATCTAGCAACCTTGAACCTTAGAAAAATGATGGTGGCTAGAAAGACATCTGTTTTTTCTTTTGTTCATAGGATGGCAGGGATAAAAGAAAGTGGTCATTTACTTACCGTGGCTCATTTATTCATTCATTTATTTAGCAATTACTGAGCTATATATTTGGGGGCATTTAGTGAACAAGATTGTTGCATTTGAGAAATTTTTAAAAAATGGATGGAGTAGAATAAACAGAAGAACGAAGAGAGGTGAGTTTAGCCAAGTATAGGAAAAGGCGGACTTAGAACATTCTTCCTTCATCTTCCACGACAGGACTGAGTTGAGCAATGCCCCTAAATGCTGAACGTAGCTGCTAACATGGTTGGTGCTTCCTTAAATAGTCACAGCAAACCTGAGGGAAAACTGAGGCTCAAGGTCGTGCCACAGATAGAGGGTGGAGTGGGGATTAAGACCAGTTCTGTCTGGTTCCAACATTCGTGTTCTTTCTGCTTGAAGTTGGCCCCTTGGAGAAGTCAGCAGGCCCTGACTGGCGAGATGGCCCTGGGCCGCCTAGGAAGCACAGAAGGAAACCGTCCCCGCCCCCCGCTTGAGCTTCTGGCTGGGTGGGGTAGTGGTTAGACCACCTTGCAGCAGGGAATGTGAGGTAAGGTACTTGGAGGCCACCTGAGTCTGAGGAGCTATGGTCACAGTCACCACACTCTTCCTTCTCCAGATTTCCAGTGGAGGACCCAGTGGTCGTGTCAGCCTAGGTCAGGGGCAGCAGTGCTCAGCCAAAGACCTCTTGAGGCCTGGAGTGCTCGTTACTGCCCCCTAGAGGCCCTGTGTGGTGTTGATTTACAAGTTGAAGGCGTAACCGTGGCCATTTAACCTGGAGAGCCTGGCTCTGCTCAGTATCCTGGAGGATGAGTGCTCAGACTCTCATCAGGCTGCTTAGGGTTCGATTCTGAGCTCTGCCACTTAACTAGCAGGTGACCATGGGCAAGCAACTTCAATCTCTATGAAATCAGGATATAATCATAGAACCTAATCGTAGAACCTAGCAGAATGTCGGGCACTTGGAAGGTGCTCCATAAATCTCAACTGTTTATACCTAAGCTACATCCAAGGTTACATTTCATATCTCTGAGGGGCCCAGAAATCCTTTCTCAGACCATGTGCCCAACCTATTTTGGGGTTCAGAAAAGAGAGTCATCTTATTTATAGTTTTTGTGGCTTTAACACTCCAGGTCACTCCGTGTCTCTGTCAGTCTGTCTTTCTCTTTCTCTCCGTTTCCTTCTCAATGATCTCATCTCCATGGTGCATCCCCCAACCCAATTCTTCTGCCCACACTGCTCTGCCAGCCCCATGGCCAGAAGCACTTCACGCATCAAGCACTGCTGGTCCCTCTTGCTGTTGTTTTCGTGAAGTCGCCCCACACAAAAACATATGAATTTTGCAGATGAATGGTTTTATCCTGGGCAACCCTGATAGGTTTTCACTTCCCATCTGCTGCTCCATCTGTAACTTCCAAAACTGCTACTTCTCCCATCCCAGGAAGGATGAGCAAACTTAGGATCCTTCTCGAAGGGCAGGAGTGCCCAAGTCAGATGCTTCTAACAGGCTCTGAAAACTTAGGGAACATCCAGGGTACAGCCAGCCCAAGGTGGCTACTCTGAGCTGTCCTGTGATTGGATTTCACTTCCCTATGGCCCCTGCCCAGCCATAACTGGGGGGCCAGACTCTTCCTCTCTCAGATAGTAAAGACTTGCTGGTTTACTGGCCACTAGTCTGTTTAGGCCCTGGACACAGACAGCCTGGTTTCAGATACTGTACCACCACTGAGGGGCCGTGTGAATCTGCACAAGTTGCTTGAACTTTCTGTATCTCTATTTCTCCAGCTTAAAATAGGCACAATATTAGTACCTATTTCAAAGGGCTTTGGGGAGAGTTAAATGAAATACGGCACATGAAGGGCAGAACAGTGCCTGATGCGTAGAAAGTGCTCGATAAATGCAGACTGTTAGTGTTACAGCAGTGGAGTGGTGTGGGCATCACCAGTGGGACTTAATCATCACCTGAGCTGCTTTCCCCTTCCCCTTGGATAGAGTTTTAAAAGTACAGAGTAGAGTTGTGGTCGCCAGAGGCTGGGAGGGGTGGGGGAGGAGAGGATGGGGAGAGGTTGGTCAATGGGTACAAAGTTGCAGTTAGTTAGAAGAATAAGTTTTCATGTTCCAGTACACACTGGGTGGCTATGATTAACAATAACTCATTGTATATTTCAAAACAGAAAGAAGAGAGGATTTCAAAAGTTCTGCCAATTACATGTACTAAAACATCACACTGTAGCCCATAAATAAGTGTAGTTGTAATATATCAATTTTTTAAAAAGGAGTAAAATATTTCTTGAACTCACATCCCTGGCAAAAATGGGAGAAGCTAAGTTAGGGCGCGAAGACTGAATGTTTCAAGAAAAACAGGATAGAACCAGCCCTTTTGAGAACGTGAAGAATATTCGTATATTTGGAATATGTGAGCTGAGCGTGTTTAAGTCTCCCAACCTTCCTGCTCTGCTGTTGACATGACTTCCTGGACTGTGTAGACTCTGGTTGGAGCCGGGTATGTACCAGTACAGGGATGCAAATGGATGTTTCCAAACTCTGAGACCCTGGGACGGTCTTCAGTCATCAAAAGATGTGATGGTTTTATTGACTATATTCTAGTTACTGAGGCAGGCAACTATGCCCAGCATACTTTAGATTGGCCACAGGAAGGAATGAAGCCAAACTTTTTGCCCTGTTGCTTGGTTGGAACCAGTAATAAGAGACCCCACACTGTCCATCCTTAACTAGACGGTGGGGCAAATCAGATGTAAGGAGAGAGGTGTTTTCACATCCACTCCTAAGGCTCACATTCAGCCTGTGGTGATGTAAAGGCACAGAAGCTACTGGACAGGGGAAACTGTGTTGACATTTTTCAAGATAAACTCACGGTGTGTGCTCTGGTCTGAATGTCTGTCCCCTCCAAAGATCATGTGGCACCTTGATCCCCAATGTGGCAGCATTGAGAGGAGGAGCCTTTGGGAGATGATTGGATTGTGAGGGCTCTGCTGTCATGAAAGATTAATCCATTCATGGATTAATCCATGAATGGGTTAATGGATAAGTGGGTTATCACGGGAGTGGCACTGGTGGCTTTAAAAGGAGAGCAAGCCCT